AGAAGTGAAGTTGTGTAGCCGACAACCGTGTTTATTATAACAACACAACGCTACGCAGCTGTCTACTTTGTTTCACTGCTAGTGTTGTGCGGAAATTATTCTTTCTCTAAACTAGTGAGGCTATTCACCAGCAGGCAATATGAAGAAAAAGGTTTTGTACAAGACAAGTTCTGAGTAAGAGAATGGAAAGAGCCACTCACGAGTTACGTTACTTTAATTTAGAAGATATGACAACATGACAACCTCTCTAAGTAATGAATGCCGTTTTTGTCAAAGTTGAAGTGATGTTTAGTGAAATAGTCGTAACGTGTGTGGTTAGGCACCCCTAATCTATAGACAAAGTTTCAGTTCAATATCATGTAATTGGTCGGAGATCCCATTTTGAGGGCGAGGGAGGGCTTAATAGTATTTTTTAAATTCATTCTTTGTGTTGCTTCAAAGGGTGTCTTTACACACATTACTCGAGGGAAAATTAATACTTTTAATCATAAGCAAAATATTCCGTGTAAAATGTCTGAAATTTTGCCTTTGTGGCGTGTGTTTAATGGCCGGATTGTGAAAAGGATTTTACTCGACGCTACTCTTCTGTTTTCCCTGCTCTATGAGAGCTGCAAGAACACCATTCTTCTCTTTGATAATATTTCTGCCTCATCATTGTGCGCAGAACAAAAAGTCAAAGTATTTATCTCAAATCTTCTCAATGCCGGAGAATTCTCCTAAAATTTATTCTCGAAACATAGATCATGGTCATTTCAATCACTTTTCTGAAGCTCGCTGAACCAGATTTTTGACCTCTAGCACCACGCGGATGTACAAGTTGTTTTTTATACATTTCTGACTAAACGAGTAAAATCTCAGTCACTACAGGCACAGATCGGAATCAAAAGTTCTGCAATACACTGTGAAAAAATAGGTGCATTTTCGAATAAAAAGTGCACTTCACGTGAGTCAAAGATGACTTCATTTTTGATCAGTAAGATGAAATTTCCATGTAAAAGACGCGCTGCGACGCCTTACGAAAGCGGCTGGATTCCAATTTTATGTACCCATAGCATCTTGGTAAGACATCATGGATGTTGAGTCAAGACACTTTGAATATCTTTTCCCGTGTAAATCAAATGCATTTTTGATGCATATAATAAGACATCCTGATGTCCTTAAGACATTGAGGATGCGTTTAAGACGCGGGATTAGCCTTATAAAAGTAAGCTACTATGAAAAACATTTTATTTTAACATGTGACAAATTTAAATACGTAAGCAACAAATTAAAAATAAGGCGGTTAATAAACTAAAAATGACTCAATTACAGTAGAATAAGATGAAACATTTATGTTGAATCAAATGAAAAGCTGATAAAGACATTGTAAGAAATGATAAATGGAAATCATATCAAAATAGACCGATTCAAATATCACGTGTGCAACTATGGAAAAAGATAGGAAGAAGGAATACAAACACAGACGGTAAACCAAAAAAATAAGTGGTTCAGTGCGTTAGGCATTGGTAAGGCGATCAGTAGAGAGGAATAGAAAATATTATTTTTGTTAGGGAACAATATTTAAAGAGCAAAATGTCTGCAGGAGCAGGGACAGAGATGGGCAACTCCGGCTGAGTTCAACTCCAACTCCAACTCCACTTAAAGAAGTTCAACTCCAACTCTAGCTCCAACTTCGCAGATCCCAAGTCCAACTCCGTTTCAACTCCAATACAGTTTTTTGTTAACCTCTGAAGAAGAATTCGAAACCGGTCAGGTTAATAAAATAAAAAAACCACTCACTCTCTGTTATTGTCTCACAACCGTGCAACGGCTACAAAAAATATATAGCAAGAATAATCAAATAGGGAGAAATAAGATTTCGTTTTATTTTCTGTGTATTTCTTAAGAAATAGACATGAGAAAGGAAAAACGAGAGACTTGTTTTCATCAACTCTAATGTGATCACTGCAGAAAGCGACAACGCTGCAATGTTTTCTTTTATTCGCTCATTCGAGATCATATGATCATCGGTAGCATATATACACATAAGTTTAACATATTCAGAATATATAAACGTTGAACACATGTTAATATTGCTTTTATGTGACGTAACAAAAACAAAAAAATTTTCAGAGTTGCAAAAATTTTTAACTGGAGTTGTGGAGTTGGAGTTGAAAAAATCTGAACTCAACTCAACTCTAATCTAATAAAAACGAAACTCCAACTCAACTCCAACTCCACTAAAAAAAAGCTCAACTCCGGAGTTAACTCCAACTCCGGAGTTGGAGTTGCCCATTTCTGAGCAGGGATAAAAAATCTAAGCAGACTTTATTTTACAATGAGAAATAGTTGTCGTCAAAAATCAGTAAATTTTGGTAGAGCGAAAGAAACCATATGCAGGTAATGATGCTTACACAATACAAATAACCTATTATGAGAACTAATCAGAAATATTTTTAGATCCCTGAGAAAACATGGTTTTCAGAAAACCTTTTAGAGTTATGTTAGATTATAAACTTTCCACATCAAATCTGTCCTTATGCCAATATAAGTTGCCAAAGGCATGAGACCGAGTGGTATACGAGCGTCACCTCGTAGATGCGTGACAAACAAAGCTGGTTACTCGACTGGCTCAAAATTGCCATTATCGTCTGTTCGAGAGTACCACAGTTACTATAGTTGTCGAAGAAACAATGTAGCTAAAGCACTTTTCTCTGTCGATTTATTTCTGCTAGAAACAGCTTGAGTAGCCGCAGTATGTCTCAGTGTCTGACAAGGGTCTCGCAGCATTTTCAATGCCTAAAATATGACTACGTAATTTATCCATGGCTGATGGGTGATTAAGGAGCTTGACTGTAGCTAGTGCATTGTGCGTATTTGATATATTAGTGATGTCTATCAAATGCACCTAAGCTATTTATTTCGAAAAATGCCGCGACTTAGAGGTGTTTTTTCGAGGACATTAAGGCGACTCACAATAAAAAGAGGAGAAAATGCACCTCACGTGCCTTCAAAACGCACTGTGGAAGAATTTTTAAGCCAGTTAAGTGATTTATCAAGACACTTTTTTTTGACAGTGTAATAAGTCGGACAATTCTGGTGCTTATGCGCTGCCTTCATGCATTTTATGTATAATTTCCCTTATTATTGCGGAACTTTTGATTCCGATCTGTGCCTGTAGTGACTGATATTTTACTCGTTTAGTCAGAAATGTATAAAAAACAACTTGTACATCCGCGTGATGCTGGAGGTCAAAAATCTGGTTCAGCGAGCTTCAGAAAAGTGATTGAAATGACCATGATCTATGTTTCGAGAATAAATGTTAGAAGAATTCTCCGGCATTAAGAATTGCTTCTTGAACTTTACTTGTTGCCATTTACCGAAAATTCAAGTAATAAACAAATAAAAGAAAAGACGACAAGGCAGAAAATACTTCTTTAAATCTAAATAGTCTGAAAATCGTGAGCTTAAATCGTCAAGTATTCATGTTTAAAAGTTACTTTTCTCTCACTTTCAAAGTCAAAAACTGCAACTATTTTGATAAACGAGCTATTAAACCAGCCAAACTTTCTCCCAAAAATTCACAGTATTTGATAATGGTAGCACTTTGGAGAGAAAGATATTCAGAATGAAAAGGCCTAAGAAAGTAAAAGGAATGCTGAAGGAAGTTTCTGTATTGGATACCAAATCTAGTGGTTAATGCAGAAAATTTTAAGTATGTTTTTCAAAAAAATGGCACAGAAGAATATTCTTCAGCATACTGCATATCTCCACTTTACTTACGCTACCGACCCACAGATGATTAATTTTTAATGTGTTTGTATCAGTGAATATATAAAATAGAATGATGTTATTCTTTCTCTTTTTAAGGTAGGACATGCATACAATATTCGGATCTTACAAACTATTTGAATTCATATAAAAGATAAAGAACGTATATTCATATTAGAAAAAAGGCGCTTATGAGTGCCGTTATATTAACCTTATATTTAAAATATACAGACAATCCTTTTTCTAATATGAACAGAAAACAAAACCGTTTGCTCTCTCTTTATCTTTGTGTGATTGTCTGTTAAATCAAAGTCATGAGACTAAACGGTTTGAAAACCAAATGTTACTGGAACAGAAGTTAGTTTGACTGAGGTACGACTGTTTTTCTTTTCTTATATGCATAATTTAGAGAAAACGCATATAAGTCAACGTTGGAGGTAGTTAGAACTAATCTTGTACAGAAACGTTTACTCTATTAATGTATAGGAATGGAATAAAACTGAAAACAATTTTCGGAAAGTATTCAGCGTTGACAAAGAGTTACAAACTTTTATATGGCTCATACACTAGTTATCACATGTAGTTATGATGTTTTGTTTTGATTTATGACAGAAGAATCGTTATCCTTCACCTTTTCCTCGTTGTTTTGCCGTGGGAATTATTATGATCTTTATATCTTCAAACTTAACTCGCGTTTTGATTCATATACCCCTAGAAAAATAAATGCTATATATACAATTTGTAAACCTTTATTCTGTTTGAGAATTCTTTTTTCAGTTGCTGCAATCAACGAAAATAAATATTAGTTGTACGATTATTTTTGCTTAAGCAGAACGTTTAGCTTTGGCTTTTTTTAATGTCTAGAAAATCTGTCAAAGTGTACATTTGTCAGTGCGTCTAATCTGTGTATCTTTAAAGTAGGTTTGCGTGTTCTCTTACAATGTTAGCATTGATCTGCCAGATGACGTTTTGTCGTTTTCAAATGATAAGTTTTATGATTGCGTGCGAGAAACAGCTGGTGAAGAAGCAGTGGAGATATGTAAATTTCAAGCGATTCGACGTACAGCTGTTTTAATTACTACCACAATAGATGAAACGTTAGCTATATTAGATGATAATGTTGAAGAATTGAAAGATTTTAAACGAAGAGTAGGTTATACGCGGTTTGATGGAAAATGTGTGATGAAAATTGGAATAAAAAATCGTATAAAAAGTTTAATAACGTCATTGAAACTAAAAAACGAACAAACTCAAATAACAATAAATACGACAATGGTCGATGCAATTGCCGTTCGTTTATCTGTTAATAATTTTAAGATTCTATCAGTTTCCCGTGAAACCCCAAGTTTTATTTTATACACATTGGTATCATTGAAAAACCATTGTTCTTTCATTTCTTTGTAGTTATCATCTTCTTCGTAACATAAAATATCATTTAATATTTCATCCGTTGTTGTATCAGCTAATGCAACCATTGATCTAATTCCTTGCACTTTGCAAAGCAATTTTACCGGCTCACCGGCTAATTATTCAATATAATCATAGAATTTCTGGTTAGAATACGAAAAAATGTCATTGGATAGGTCATTGGCGTTTGGTACATGATCGAAACTAATGGAAGAAACTGTTGATGTTGTTCGAGTAGTTATTGCAGACGGTGGTAGTGGTGGTGACTTCTTTGAAGCCATAATTGTCGACTATACCAAGACTTACGTTAAATGTTGAATTAAAAGAATTTTTCTCTTTTGTCAGTTTTTTACTTGTGCTATATTTCGTGTGTATTTCTCTTCCACTCATCGTGTTGGTTTATATATATGTCGGAGTTTTCAGATTAAAATCCAGTTTAGCTTAAAACTGAACTAGTATAAATCGAAATTGAAATATGAACTAGTTCGGTTGAAAAGCAGTTTCAAAATGAACTAGTACATTTCAAAATTTCAACTTCACCTAGGTCTAATCAAAATTTAGATCTGAACTGACAAAGTAGACTAGGCAGATTTGAAACTCAACTGGCTCAGTAATGCATTTCAAAACGAACTAGTCGGTATTAAAATGCAGTACCGTTCAGTGAAGTTAACTTATATCCTTCTTGTAGCAGCCTCTTTTCTTTTAATACTGTGAAGTTTATCAAAGCAAGAAAACAAAAACGAGCAAATATATGTTTTTAGCAGTTTTCCCATTTTGTTGCTTTTCCTCCATGACATTTTGTACAACATTTATGATTATTTTTTACATGGACACCGTTTTGTATTACAGGCGCCAGCGCATTTACATGTATATCTGCCGATTTAAAATTGGTATAAATTTGACAAGCTTATATAAAGGTTATCAGTGGCAATAAATCAATATTTAGGGCGCGTAGCGCACCAAAAATTGGCCGTTATAAGATCGATAAAAGTAGCTGATTCAAAAGTTTCTATGATATTACCAGTTTGTGTTGCTACAGTATACAATGTTTTACCGTTTTCAGTATTACATAGTACTACTCTACACGGCAATACTGTGGAGAAACTGACGATTTTAATACCGACTAGTTCCGTTTGAAACACAACTAGTTCGTTTTGAAATGCATTACTGAGCCAGTTGAGTTTCAAATCTACCTAGTCTACTTTGTCAGTTCAGATCTAAATTTTGATTAGACCCCTAGGTGAAGTTGAACTTTTGAAATGTACTAGTTCATTTTGAAACTACTTTTCAAACGAACTAGTTCATATTTAAATTTCGATTTCACCTAGTTTTTATTAAAATTTCGATTTATACTAGTTCAGTTTTAAACTAAACTGGATTTTAATCTGAACTCCGACATATATGTTACAGTGGAAATTAAAATTCAGTGGAATTTAAAATTCCACTAGTGGAAATTAAAATTTCAATCTTCACTAGTGGAGTTTAAAATTTCAATTTCCACTGACAAGAATCCAGTGGAAATTGAAATTTTAAGTTCAACTAGTGGAGAATAAAATTTTAATCTCCACTATAGTGGAATTTTAAATTCCACTAGGCAAAAATGACTAACACTCATATTTCAATCTCCACTATAGTGGAAATCAAAATACAAGTGGATTTTACATGTGAAAGATCACTTTACTAAATTCTCATGGGCGTATGCTTTGAAATCCAAAGAAGCTGCACCAGTCGCAGAGAAACTCCTTGCACAATTTTACACCTTTGATTTTATTTACAATTTTACACCTTGACAGGTGTATTATCAGTTGCTTTTAGTATCCACGATTTACTAGACTTGTCCAAGTGCAATTTCGCCGATCTGCGTGCTGTTGATTACAAATGTTTACCCGTTGTTACATTCATCCAGGCTTGTAAAGGGTTACGCTAGTACAGGTGGAAATACAATTGCGGAAGCGTGCAATTGTAAACGGGACTGTGCGACAAAAAGTTGTCCATGCCGAGCTAAAGGCATAAAATGTTGTACAAAATGTCACCCCAAAAAAAAGTGTGTGTGTTCAAATGCTTAATGCTGTTAAAAAAATATTTGTGATTGTTAATAATATTTTCAATAAAAAGATGGTATTACCTTTACTATCAGCATCATGTCAGTCAAATTATAATTTCCACCATAGTGCAGATTGAAATATGAGTATTAGTCATTTTTGCCTAGTGGAATTTAAAATTCCACTATAGTGGAGATTAAAATTTTATTCTCCACTAGTTGAACTTAAAATTTCAATTTCCACTGGATTCTTGTCAGTGGAAATTGAAATTTTAATTTCCACTAGTGGAATTCTAAATTCCACTGAATTTTAATTTCCACTGTAACATATATATAACTGTATAAATATGTGCAAGTGAATACCTTGTAAACGCAGATAATGACAAAAGAATGAAAAAGACAGCCGAGGAAAAAAGAGATCTTTATTTTTCTTCATATGGACAAAAGGCGAAAAGCGAAAAGTTCCTTCTTTTAGTTAGGAATATTGGACAGTGTTAGAAAGAAAGACATTCAAGAAATATACATGTGAATACACACGCACAATATGAGCTGAGAAAGATAAAATCTTTGTTAAACTATAATTTTTTTCTTTAAGAAAAGTATCGATTCTAAAACACCATACCATTCAAGTTTACTTGCTTCAATCATAACCTTTAATTTAACAGACGCATGAATAACTAAAAGCGGTTGATATTCGCGAGAAATTGCACACACGAAAAAGGTGATTCAGAGAAGAAACATCACTCCTACACAGAAATCATCCGCCCATTCTTGTCCAGCGGTATTTGTACCTCACTAGAGATTTGGTAAAGGATCAAAAAGCCCTAGTTGTGGCACCAGCTCATGTTTCATATCAAATAATAAAAATGACATCCTTCCTGAAAATAACTTTAGATGAACAAACTGCTAGAGTAAAGTTACAACAGTCTGCTAACATGGTGATCGACAAGGTGAGCTTTAATCGAGCTCCAACCATTACCGTACACTCTTTCGAAATGCCTGACGCATTTACAGACGATAGAAAGACACACGAGTTCATATTGAAATCTAATGATCATAAAGGTATCGTAAGGTATCATAATGGGATCATCCCATGCAGATGAAAAAAGTCGTTCGAGGGATGCGGCGAGTGCTCGAAAATCGGCCCTCGCCGAGGGCTCGACCCCTCGGAAAATGGCACTTCGGACCCTCGATATAAGCTTTCGAGGGGTATCGATTTCGAGCCCTCGGATTTCAGATAGGTAGCGA